CCTCTTCCCCCAATTTCCCAGCACTGTTACCCTCCCCCAATTCCCCAATAAAAATCTTAAATAAATAAATAAATAAATAAACAAACAAACAAACAAACAGAAGAAATAGAGATGCCTATTTTAGAGAGGAACAAGCGAGGGGGTATTTCAATTGTACTGAAATTAAAAGTGTCAAGGAAACTAACCATACCTAATTGATCTAGTAAGATCATTAAATCTACAAGTACAGAATGTATACTCTTTCTAGGTGCACACAGAACATTTAACAGAATGGACCTTTCACTGGACCATACAATCTCAATAAATTTCAAAATACTGAAGTCACATGGAGTATATTTTCTGACCACAATGGAATCAAATCAGAAATCAATAAGAAAAGGGTAACTTTTGCTATGTAAAAATAAGCAATATATTTTTATATAACTACAGGTAAAAGAAGATATTACAGTGGAAATTAGAAAATACTTTAAACTTAAGGATAATAAAAATATGACAAATCAAAACTTGGGAATATATCCAAAGCAGTAATTAAGGAGAGATTTACAGCTTTAAATGCATATGTTAGACAAATATATTGAGATCAAAGATCTAAGTTATCAAATCAAAACACTAGAAAAATAACAGCAACTTAAACTCATGAAAGTAGAAGAAATTAAGGAAAGAGTAACTAATGAAATACAAAATAAATATATAATAAAGAAAATGAACAAAATCAAAAGTTGATTCTTTGCAAAGATTATGACACTGATATACCTCAAACAACACTGATCAAAAAAGGGAAAACAAAAATTACCAATATCAGGAATGAAAAAGGAAAACGTCATTCCAAATCCTATAGACTTTAAACAATAAGATAATATTATAAATGACTTTATAGCAATACATTTTATAATTCAGATGAAATGAACAGATTCCTAGAAAAACAAAACTTATCAAAACTAACACAAGGGGCCAGCTGAGTGGCTCAGTTGGTTAAGAGCGCGAGCTCTGAGCAACAGAGTCGTTGATTCGATTCCCACATGGGCCAGTGAGCTGCACCCAAGCTGAGCTGACGCTGAGCTGCCAACAGGTAGCAGGATGGCTCAGCTGGTGAGAGCGTGTGCTCTTAACAACAACGTTGCTGGTTTGACTCCTGCATGGGATGGTGGTCTGTGCCTCCCAGCAACTAAGATTGAACACAGCACCTTGAGCTGAGCGGCTGCGAGCTGCCAACAGGCGGCCGGATGACAACTGGACTTGGAGCTGAGCTAGCTGTGCCCTCCACAACTGAGACTGAAGGACAACAACTTGGCTGTTCCCCTTCCCCAATTCCCCAACACTGTTCCCCTTCCCCAACTCCCCAATAAAATCTTTAAAAAAGTACAAAAAAAACTAACACAAGAAGAAACAGAATGTCTGAATAGTACTGCGGCCATCAAAGAAACTGGTCTGTAATAAAAAATGCTAGAGAACAAAGGGAATATGGACTAGGTGGTGTAAAAAGAAAAGTTAAAAATACCAATTATGGTCTCATGACCAAGCTGCGGAAGCAAAGAATGTAGCAGCTATGCCTATTTTCTCCTTCCTTTATGTATCTACACCAATTTATTTGTCTCCTCTTCTTTTCCAACTACTATTTGACATTACAATTACCCAGTTTATACAACATACATAAATTTATACAACTTAGTCTTTGGATGTTTGTGGTTTTCTCATAAGTTTAACATCCTTTGTTAAATTTTGCAAGTTTTCAGCCATTATTTCTTCAAATACATTTTCAGCCCCACATTCTTCTTCTTCTGGGACTCAGATGACATGCATGTTGTATGTTTTGTAATTGTCTCACAGGTCTCTGAGGCTCTGTGCACTTTTTAAAAATCTATTTTCTCTGTTGTTCAGACTGAATAATTCCTACTGACTTGTCCTCAAGTCTGCCAATTCTTTCCTGTAATCTCCATTCACCTACTGAGCCCATCAGGTAAGTTTTAAGTTCAGGTTATTGTAATGTTCAGTTCTGAAATCCCCATCTGGTTCTTCTTTATATCTTCTGTTTCTTTGCCAAGACTTTCTATTTTTCCATTTATTTCCACAATACTCATAATTGCTTATTAAAGGATTTTTTATGATAGCAGTTTTAAAATCCTTGTCAAATAGTTCCAATATCTGTGTCATCTGTTGATTACCTTTTCTCATTGAAGTTGCAATTTTCCTGGTTCTTGGTATGATACATAATTTGGATTGTACCCTGAACACTCTCAGTATAACTATGAGACGGCGCTTCATTTTAAATTTTCTATTGTTGCTGAGAGTTTAGGTTCAGAATGTATGCCCTAGCCCCCTTCTGTGGGCTGTGGACTGAACAACAATTTAGTTTTAGAGTGCCGTTTTGGTCTGCCCAACTTGTGTGCTACCCAGAGGCTAACTGAAACCTGGGTAGTATTCCACACCATGGTTTATATTTCTCAAAGCTTCTGCTGTGTTGAGTCCAGTCAGTAATATGCATGGCTGCTCTGAAGGGAGAAGCGGGAAGAGTGTGCTGAGGATTTCACACACAGATTTAAGGAATCCCTTTTCCAGCTTCCTCCTTTCCATGATCTTCCCTTTGCTCTCCAGCTGGGACGGGATGAGATGCTGCCTCTTTGCCAGTTGGGACCAGTGGATAGGACCCTCCCCCAGTCTCTGCAGCTGCCTCTTTGCTGACGTTCACTCAGTGCAGGGCCTGGGTGGTCACCTGGGTTCTAGCCCAGTCTCCACACTGGAGAGGGGACAGGAGTGCTGTCTGCTTCTGTCTCCTGTTAGTGCAGGGCCTGGTGGTCACCTGGGTTCTAGCCCACTCTCCATGCTGGTGAGGGGCGGGCCAGAGTGCTGTCTCTGCCCCTGTCCCATTAGTGCAGGGCAGGGATGGTCTACAGGGCTCTGCATGACACCCTCCAGTCACAGCGCCTCGTTGGCAGGGGGACGTGTGGCTTCTTTCATGGTGTTTGCCTGGTGTAGAGTGGGTATAGTCAAAAGGGTTCCATCTGCAAGGGCTGCCCTCTTTCTAGTCTTTGGCAAAAGAAAGTGGGCTTTTCGGGCTTTTTGTTGTTGTTGTTGTTCGTTGGGTTTTATCTGTGCCTATAAGTATTATATCTTGCTCCAGCACTGGGTCGAAAGACAGAAAGGAAGGAGGGAGGGAAGAAGGGAGGAAAACACCTACGGGAACTCACTGCTGGGACATTCCTCAACTCCTGAGGTTCTGAGCCAGTCTGTCTTCTTTCTCCAGGAATAGGGTGACATGTGCTTACTTGACCATGTGTCTACAATTTATTCAGAAGTGAATAAATTCTACTTGACAGAATATTCAAGCAGAATTGTGACTACGTTAAAGAAGGAATTAATAAGTACCCAGAGGCAGATATTATGACCACTGGGACGATGTGTCTCCCCTTTTGGGGGAAAGAATGAGAGACCTTTATTTGTATAAAAGGATGGCTGCATCTTCTTAGTGGAAGAATAAAGTTGCTCCTTTTGCTGTGTGAGGTTCGAATCTGCGCAGAAGGGCGTGTATGGATGCGGAGCAGCCCAAGGGGGAGCCTGCTGGTTCGTGAGCTACTGCCTCGCAGCCCCACCCCTGCTTTGTGATGCCAGAGCTGAGACTCTGCAAGAAGAGCCGGCACTCGGGCTTGGCTCTATCACTCCGAATGTCCCCTTTTCCACAAAAATAAACACACGGGTACAGTTTGAAGCCATTCTGGGCAATGAACAGAGAAAACACTGGCAGAAAAAACTGATCTTTTTGCCATAAGTTGGCTAGAGAAACAAGTAGGCAATTTACTCTTTTAAAAACTGGGAACGGGAGTATACTAAAAGTCATCCAGCACCGTAGGTGTGCTGATGTAAAAGACGTCTCTATGACTGAAATCAAATCCAAAAAGATGAATGTATGTTTAATTAGCTACCCTCATGCCTTTCACTGGACACTAACAGCATCAACCAGGGTATCATACACCAGCCTATTTCACAACAATTTCATTTACACCCAAACATACGTATTTGAGAAAAAAACAAAAAAACAAAAAACCCTTGGAAAACTTGAGCTTTTCATTTTTGGTGGTAGCGGGGGATTCCTATTTCTCCCCCTTAAAGTCCACTTTTAATTTAAGGGTTAGAAAATAAACTTCTAGAATAAATATCTGCATCAAATATGGCTTCGTTTAATAAAATTTCATGATTTAGAACCTCAAATTCAACAAATCCTGAGTCAACTAAAGAAGATGGTTACCTTTCTCCCAAAGGCAGGATAACTGCTGGGGATAAATTTCACCACTTTCCCCTGTGCCAGCTGTAGCTAATTGATTTATACACTCTGTTTTGCTTGGGTCTGATACCACCAGTACACCCCTGCAGCCATCATGCATCTCACGCACATCCTCCCTGACAGAGCTCATCAATTCCTATTGCTTTTCACCAGGCCTCAGCTCTGGCACTTTCCCCTGGGGAGACCTTTACTGGTCTCCATACTTAACCCTTGAACCCGGACTAATCCATCAGCCGCAGAATGAACAGTGATAGAGAATGTTTCTCCCTAAAGACAGGCAGCCAGCCTCTCCACTTAAAACTCAGAAAGCAAGCCATCAACAGGGTCTGCTTTCTGTTTGTCAGTGTCGCCAGCTTCTTCACTTACTGATGTTTTTATTGTTGCGGTGCCCAGCTGCTTGAATCAGGGAAGTGCTATTCAAAAGGAGGCATCAATTAAGTGCTTGTTACATGCTATAGACGCTCTTTTGAAATTGTCCCCTGGGACTCTCCTTGGGAGTTCCCAAAACTAGTGGAGGGCACAGCTGTCATTTTGGAACAGGGTTTCCCCAAAGTTTTAAAGAACCGCTTCATAACCCACACCCCTATGCACAGCTTTTGGATTCTGCTCGAATTTTAAAATTATGACTTTCAAGAGTGAAACATAGTACTCTTCATTAGTAAAAACAAGCAATAAAAGACAACAAATGTTAAATATGTAGAGATGCTGTTCAAAGCCTCTTTACCTCATAACCAAACTGCAGCTCATCAGAGGTCAGCATAATGATATCATCATCAATAGCAAGGACGGCCTCCGTCTCGATTTCGTCATAAGGGAAGAAACGGTTACTCAACTTGTTTTCTGCCGTCCTCACAACTTTTAACGGAACCCGGATTTTGGGCCAGAGAGACTCTGGGAAAAGAAAAAAAAACAAAACAAGGTATTTACTCCTCCAACAAAGTGGTGAAAGCATCGCATCACAAATGAGATGGAAGAATCAATTAAATCCCCACATATAAGTGTGCAAGGGAAATTCTTACAAATGCAGTTTTATAATACTTAATATTATAACATTATAACTATGTCTAGCCTCTCGAAGTCCTTACAACACTACTAATTCTCAATACTGTCTTAACCAGAATGTGCAAATTGGCTTCGACTCACAACTGAGAGACAGAGAAGGCAAACGGCCAAGATCACAATGACAAGAAGAGAAACCAAGTGTGCGCTGCCTCGTGCTCAGGCCCATGGTTTTAATATCAGAACTCGACCACCTCGACAGCGTACTTCCAGATAGGTGCAGCCCACATCAACACCTGCCTGCAGCTCTGCTAGGAAATACAATGCATGTGCTGAAGATGGCTGCCCCAATGTGCCCACCTCCAAAAAGCAATCACAAACAGCTATCAAGGCTGCTAAAATCTTCCCCTCACAGCAATGTCTCTCTGAATGGGTATAGCTTCCCTAACTTAGCACTTTATCCACTCGACAGCCCCTCCCCCATGATTTACAGGGTTTGGTTTCTCATCATGTCCAATTTGCAGGGTAACTATCAAATTTCTAGGCCCAATTATGTGGGATTTTCTAGTACAGTAAAGAAACACCAATCCATGACTTGCCTTACATTTTCCCTATTCTACTTTGAAATGATTGAAGCAATCCAACCGCAGGTTCCTTATTTTAAAATGCTGCATTTAGCATAGCATGAAATTAATACTTCTTTGGTACAGTACCCATGTCTAGAGACCTCAAGGTTCTTCACAGAGGGCAGTTTGTTCTTCACACACCATTTGTCAAATGAGAATAGGAAATTCAGCTATTATATTGCTTCCAAAAAGTTCATCACGTAATTCTGGGACAATCTAGTTTTTGTGGGTCTTAAAGCCCCCAAATGCCCGTGGCCACTCCAAAGTCACCATCCTGAAGAGAAGTATGACAGAGGGAAAGTTGGAGGGAAAAAGGTGGTCTTTGCTGATTGCAGATAAAACATCTACAGTGTGTGTTATAATAAACCCATGTACCCCATTGTCAGGAAATGACCGGCATCTTGGAAGAAGCCCGTGCCAGTGAGGCCCTGGGATGAAGGAAGGCATTCAGTCTTAAATAAGCTACACAGCCTAGCAAAGTGGTCAACTCCAAAAGAAGCACGTTTAGGAAAGGACTGAACCAGAGACCAAAGATGATCCTACGGGCCACTGTCTTCTAATTAACAACAATAGTTATAGTTTCTTTCTTGGCACTAACCTACATAATCAATACATATCTTTGGACTAAATGGATGGGCACAGGACTGAGAGACTGGGGATCTCAGTTCTGCCTTATCTCTGGGATCCTGGGCAAATCCCTTCTTCTCAGGGTAAAAATAAGCAGGGACAGAGAAGGGCCTGTATTAAGCACCCTGTGTATGCCTGACACTTTAGAGCTGCAACGCCATTCAAGCCTCCTGACAACCCGATGGGGCAGAAATTATTTACAATGTAGTATTTCCAAGGCTCAGAGAGGTTAAAGAAACTTGGCTGGAGAGAGCTAATAAATGATAAGGTTAATGTTTGAATCGAAGTCTGTTTAGCATCAAAGAGCAAATAGAACCTGTGCCATCTATTGCAGCTTGAAAAGCTCATGTTTCTCTAGATCAGGAACAAAACAATCAAGTTCAATAATTTTCTCCAGCAATCATCATCCTTATTCTTGTTTGCTTCCCACTCCAGGTAAATAAAACCCGTCATACATCTGTCCAAATCCTTATAAAACAAGAATTAACTGTAACGTCTAAAATAAAGGAGGCTATAGCTCTACCTACTAGACCAGTGGCTCTCAAACTTTTTGGTGTCAGGGTTCCTTTGTACTCTTAAAAATTGTTGAGAACCCCAAAGAGGTTTGTTTATGTGGACACACACACTCACACACTATTTGTGGTATTAGAGATTAAAACTGAGGAAATTATAAAACACAAGAATACACAAGCATACAATATTCCATGAGCCATTAGGGTGATGATGTCATCCCATGTCACATAGCCTCTGGAAAACTCCAATGCCCACTTGCGAAAGAATAAAAGAGTGTGAAAGGGGGGTGACTTAGTATTATTATGAAAATAAATTCCACTTCACAGACCCAATATGGGAAAAGTACCAACAAACTGGAAAATAGTTTGGGAGGAGTTATGAGGATAGTGCGGGTAGAGTCCAGGATGTCTACAGAACGCTTGAAGAAACGAAATGGGCAAGTCGTCAATTTATTGCTGCTCTGCTTCGCTTTCACCCTTCATCACTGCTCGAGATCCTGGAACTGCACCTGTCAACATTTCCCTGTGCCAGCTGGCACTGTGCTAAGCTTTGTCAGTGGAGGGAGCTGGAGGGACACTTGTGGAGGAAGGGGGCTTTCCTTCCTGGTTTTGGGGTGCTCTTATTACTCCTTGCTCCCTCAGTTCTTGGCCAGCAGGTAGGCAGACAGCGGCATTTACCTCCAACGAGTTTAAGTGGCACCCCCAGGGGCAGCTTCCCAGCGAGTTCTACGGAAGCCCTCAAGGGCAACTCAGCTGAGGTTCTGCCTGTAGGTGGTTCCGAGTGAGCGCCACGGAAGCCCTCAGTTTTCCAGAAAGTTCAGTAACACCTCCTAGGCAGCCTCCTGTTGCATTCCATGGGTACCCAAGGAGACAGCTGGTTTCTTGCTGGCCAGACGTGGCCTGTGGCACCTCAGCAAACTTCATGCACGCAGTGGGCCACAATCACACTCTCCAGCAAGGCGTGAATCTCACACCTAGTGGGAGAAGGGGCTTTCCCAAATTCATTTCCTATAATCTTTAGAGTTGTTTTTACCCCTTAGTACCAATCTCCTGTTACTAGCTAATAATTTTTACATTAAACTTTTTCCTGTTCAAGTCACTGTATGGTTTCTGCCTCCTACCTGGACCTTGACTGACACACTAGGGCTATCAGGTTAACAGATGAAAAGGAGATTGTTCTCCATGGCCTCAAAGTCAGAGCCACGAGCAATGACTGGGTCAAAGTTATAGGAAAACTGACTTCGACTCAAAATAGGTAAGAGTTTTCTGATGGTGTAAACTGTCTTAAGATGGAATGAAATGCTTCAGCAACACAATGAGCCCTTTTGCTGAAATGTACTAACTTAGGTCATATTTCTACTTGACATCACATGAGAGACCGAACAAGATGCCCAAGGTCCTAAGATCAGGCAGTTACGTATCACAGAAAGCGGACTTTGGGAACAGCTTCACATCCAGGTGTACCCCCTTTCTTGCCAAGTGATCTTAGTCTGTTTCTCCGACTATAAAGATGGAGCCATAACACCCCCTTTCCATGAGTGACTGAGAAGGGACACTCACTAAATGGCAGCTGTGCTTTACCATGAAAGTTTGCATCTATTTACAGAATCAAAAGACTTTTTTGAACCTTAGGTGGTGGTTGCAAGGTGGTACGTTATCTGACAATCCTGTGGCGTGTCTCCAGCTGGTACCTTCCATGTCCACTGTTAGGTCAACAAAATCCCGGCCATTTCTAGAACTGAGAAACTCTAGCGCAGTAATGAAACAAAAGAACGGAACTTCTGCCGAGGTCACTTCACCAAGTTACAAACAGCTCCTCTTTTGGCAATACGTGTAGAAAAGGGCTGGCTGCTCTGGTTAAATGTAAACATTCCTGTGCCGTGGATGAGACCTGAACTTTCCCTGGGCCAGTGAGCACAGCATGCTCAACCCAGACAACTTTCCACAATCTCTGCCTACAAATACCTAAAGAATTACATGGGACAACGTCCATGAAGAACTAACCTGCCCCTGTACGGTCTTTGATGGGGAAGTTTCAGAGAATGATGAGGGCCAAAGAGGTTGATGTGGGGTGTAGATGGAAATGTAGAATGAATCATGGCTTTTCTGGGAGCTGGTTAATTTCCCCTGTTCTGAATTAGGCCGGGGTAGCCAAAAGTCAGCTTTGACAAAAGGAGTCTCCGTCTCAATGGCCAGCTGTCTATCATTACTATAAGACAGGACTCTAAGTAGAATTCCCAGTCTCTCACTTTCACATTTTTAAATAAAATAGGCCTCCAAGAAAGTCAACTACCATTCTCTCAGGCTTTCGCATCCCTTCTGTGGAGGGCAGGGGTAAGGGGGCAGCAATCAAAGAATAAGCATTATAATTACTCTCTGCCCTAAAGCAGGTAATTCTGAAATTGGATTTTGATTCTATTAAAAAAATCAGGACAGAGGCATGAGGTAGGAAACAAAAATATAGGTGAGAAAGAAGAGTTTTTTTTTCTTTTTTCCCTTTTCCATTAGTATTTTCAAAAGAATGGATTTACTTTTCTGTCTCTCTTTGAGTCCCTGACAAGAACCTAGCTCTTCTACATACTCCCAAATCTGAGAGCTGACAAAGCGTGATGATCTTCCTATTGCTAAATGGTAATCTAAACAGATACAGATGCACTTAGTGCAAAGGGCATGAGCTCTGGATCCAGAGCGACCATATTTATTGCTGGCTCCGCCACGTGCAGTGTTGTGATTCAGGCAAATTACTAAACGAATCTGAGCTTCATTTTTGTAAAATGGTGATAATAGCAGCTTTGTGCTAAGGACTGGAGCTGATATGTGTAAAGCACTTAGCACAGTTTCTAGTCCTAGGATATAAAAGGTATACAATACGTAGTTAAATAGCGTCATGTCATTATGATCTTCACCAATGGATTCTTGTAAAATCTTACAAATTCCACTTCTCTACTGACAGCTTGAAGAGGTATAGACAGAAGGCTATGGGGTGAGCCCTTAGGATGCAGAAGGAAACAGTGCCATAGCTAGAAATCTTCAGGCTCTAATTCCATTGCTTAGCCCAGGTGGGGTCTCTTTTTCTTTACTCCTTTACATTCTTTTTTTTTTTTTTTTTTTTTAAATTTTTTTTGGGGAATTGTGGAGGATGTTGCTTCACTGGCCCAAGTTGGCACCATCATTGCGCTCTTCTCTGGCGAGGCAGATCAGTCGCCGGCTTCTGGACAGCTGCTCACTGCGGCTGCTGGCCGCTCACTGCGGCTGCTGGCCGCTCACTGCGGCTGCTGGCCGCTCACGCTGGCTGCTGGCTACACACGGTAGCCCATGGCAATCCACTGCCACAGGGACTGCAGCCCACGCCGTCGCCGGCGACTCATGAAGCCCAGCTCCAGGTTGAGCTGTTGTTCAGCATCTTAGCTGTGGAGGGCAGTGTCACTGGCCCTCATATGTGGGATCCGAACCGGGGCCCTCTGGCATCCCAAGCGAGTTCTTAACCATCGCGCCACTCGGCTGGCCCTACTCCTTTACATTCTAAATGGAACAGCGTGCCCTTGTATCTTGTGTCTCATCCTGAGCATTTGTAGTTGGCAAAATAGAAATGTCACCTTCCATTCACACAAAAAAGTCTAAAAAGTAGGATTTTCAAACATGTTAAATTTATGAAACACAGACAGTTGAGCCAAATGACCAGATAATTTCAGTTATAAGCTTCAGTCCAGCATGAAAGAGAAAAAGAACTCCTTGTATTAAGGAGTGTTTTTTTTTTTTTTAATGTGTACTGATTAATGGTATTCTCCATGTTGGATGCCAAGAGAGATGTGAGCAAAGAGAATTTTTCTCCGACTTGGCAAAGGTACCCCAAAATGTTCAGGTTGACTGAAGATGACCAGCCTGGCAATCGCTGTCCCACACAAGCCCAGATCCACAAAATAAATGATGCGGTCACTGCCGTGCAAACCTCGAGCTCACTTCAGCAGCGCTCAGGCTGCTTGGTGTACGTCTGGTCCCCATGACCCGAATTCCCACAGGCCCAGAATTCAGCTCACAAAGAGGGGAGCTGCTGCGTGTCCTTCTGGGCTGACCATCCTGCATACTAAGAACTAGGAAGGTCCCAAGCTGAAGCTGGGGGGCTCCCGAGGTCACTGCAATCAGTTCAAAAAGCAGGCTGAGGTAAACCCATCTGGGACGGACAGTGTGACAGCTTCCTTCAGACTGATGCCAGAGGCCCAGCAAATAACTCCTATATCCATCAAGCTTGGAAACTGAAGACCTGGGGAGGAGAAGGCAGCGTCTTGTCTTTTTTTTTCTGACAGAGCTCAAAACGAACGTGACGAAAGCTCATTGGAAATTTCTACTGCCTAGTCTAAGTATTTACTTAAACTTCAAACCCAACAACTTAGACTTAAATGTAACCAAAAAGAAAAAAGTATTTGGTTGGGTTGGAAAGTGAAAAAAAAATGGGGGGGGCGGGGGAAGGATTTCTGCCTACACTAATCCTCCCAGCAGCAGACATGTTAACCACAATATTTATTTTAGTAAATGTAGAGAAAGTGAAAAACATCACTTTGGCCTCTAATATTTCAAAGCCTTGGACTTGCTTTTTAAAAAATATATATGTTACTAATGCCGTACATGAAAAATAAGATGACTTTGCTGGCATGAGGGCCAGAGCTGACAGCCCCATTTACCAACTGAACAAACACCCCACAGAAGATGAAACATAGTTCATGTTCTCCCCAAACAGCCACAGCGCGAGAGCCGGAGCCCTGACCTAAAAACCACGGTTAGAGAAAAAGTGGGTCCAGTCTCTAAATGTGTCAAAATTAGGGCCTCATCAGTTGAGGGCTCTCCCTCCTCCCTAAAGCCAAAATGTTTCAAAAATAAACTAAACTCTTAGTCATAAAATTAACCGCTACAGTTTAGTAGGGTCTACCAAAAATGATAACTGAGCACCCTGCTCCAAAACCTAGGATTGTGCTATTGCATTCGGTTATGTCATTGGGCACGGGAGCCTGGAACAAGGAGGAAGAAAAAGATTTCTCTTTTCTCACGGTTTGCAACAATGCTTGGCCAAAAGAAGTTACTCAAATTCACAATCAACTCTGCACCTGACGCCCAAAGTGGCTACCCAAGGCTTCTAAGGAGAAGCCACCTTTGCTTTAGTACCAGGCTGCAGCGCTACCTCTGGGCAGGAGAGGGGGTGGGAAGGGTGGAGGCCGAGCAGCCCTCTCTAAGAGCTGGTGGGCTTGGGGAGCAGGAGCAAATGCATGAGTGACCTAACAGGCTGCTCTGGGGCACACCCATCCTTTACAGCAATGCCGTGCTGCCCATCACCTGACTCCAGGAAAGGAAGGCCACTGGTGCTGAGGAATCCAAATGGGCGGTGAGAGGTCCTCCCCTGCCCCCTCACACCTCCTTTCTGCTCTGCCTCTTCCTTGCTGTCAGTCTTTTCCTCCCTCCTTCTTAGGTGGCGCGCCAACACCTTCGTTTTTCTTCTATCCCTTTCTTTCTCCTTTATTGAGCATCAAACAAAACAAAACTAGATGTTGAGAAGAAAAAAAACCGTGCTATAAAAAGATAGTTGATAGAAAGATCATTTTTTAAAAAGCTGTGTGCTTCAGGGCATAATATCAGACCTTCCTTTAAAATGCTGTTTTATTTACTTAAACCCTGTGGCTCCATCAATCTAAAAAGAAAGTATATGATTCTCTCCAAGAACAAAAAAAATCTCACTGAGTAAAAAATGTTAAGTGTCTCAGGAGGAGCTAAAGGATTTTCTTGAGGCCAATTCTGATTGGCCCACCAGACAGAAATATGGTCTTCTTCCAGCCTAGGCTACAGATCTACTCCTGGTAGTTTCCAGGGCTGACTACCCCGGCTTCAGTAGAACCAATTAAAAGGGAATAGCCATAAAAAGTGCAGATACTACTGTCAGGCAATAAACTAGACCTTATCGGTGATAGTGGTGCACATTACAAACTTCAAACTCATTCCTTGCTCTAATCCATCAGAAACTTCCTGGCTTTAATAGGCTATAAAGGGCAGGAGCTTTGAAGTCCCTGGGATTAGGATCAGTAATAGACAGACTGAATGAGAAACTAAATGCAGGTGGAACATACTCTATGCACCCTGAATTAAAAACAAATCCAATTAATCAAATAGTCCTCGACCCGAGCTGCCAGCCAGCCGATTGCAGGGGTGGCCCCAGCAAGGAACAAAGTGATTGCGGGTGAACCAATGGGGGCCCCTAGCGACTGCTCACTTAAGGAGCTGATTCGAAGCCTAGAGAGGACATGTCTTGCTGACGTTCCCAATCAGAAGTGAGGCCATCCTCGTTTTTGAAGAAGAACACTGTATCAGAGCAGAGATAAGCAAGGAGAAAACTAATGCCTTTTAAACTGAGTTTTCATGTAAACAAATCAGCCGAGAGGGCTGAGGGAAGCTGAGATCTGTTTTCCCGAGGCTGGTGGCCTTTGATCCTCCTGGTTCCTAAGCCCTCAAACACTTGTGGCTACTGAGCAGGCCATGGGGCTTGGAGTTAAGTGGGCCACCCTAGAGCAAGAATTAAATTTTGGAGAAAACTGGGTTCATGCTGTTTCAGAAATGGTATTACTGCTGACAAAGCGGGAAAATTCATTTAAAACAGAGGATGCAAATAACCTGGCAATCCGTAATGGATCCTGCTGAGACTTACACTAACGCTCAAGCCAGGCCTTTCCTTACACTCCACTTTTCTTACCTTCTGGAGGGTTCTTGTTCTGATTATTCCAGACGACGAGCAGCTTGGATAGACTGGGCACCTTGGACACTTCAGTGATGACCCGGAAGAGACTCTCCACTCGGTCATAGGTGAGGACAATGGCAGTGAAACCTTGAGACTGCGGTGGGATCAGGGGGAGGAAGAGTGGGTTGCTCACGCTACCCCACTTCTGCAAAAGAACAGATTAGTGTGGGTTAGAAAAGAATCTAGTAACAACAGGGCTGATCTCTTTCCCAACATCATCAATAAACCCGAACACGGGAGGTTTGGTGGCTTTCACCATGACCAACCCAACAGCTAAGTAACTGTTCAAAGTCCTCCCCTCCTCAGAATTCGTATTGGTTCTCTTTAATTAAGTTTGACTCTGACACCATTGGAAACAGAGCAGATTTCTAGTTAAGCATGGCGGATTAAACATATGCATTTATCTCTATTCCCTCCCCAAACCCACTAAAATGACAGCTAATAAATATAACATATAAATCTACAATAACAATGAAATGGGAGAAGAGAAAGCAGCTGATGAGCAGTATTAACACGTTTCTGAAAGGCTGAGGGGGGCTGGAGAAGTGGCAACAGAGAAGGAGTGCGAGAGCTGGAACCTAAGTGCCCACAAAGAGGGGGCCAACCAGGTCCCAGGTCAAACGCAGCTCAGTGGGCGCCTCCTGAGGGTAAGAGGAGGGGTAGGGGTGACAACAGGAGGACTGGTTTAAAACATGTTTAAATGAACAGGGCGAGACCCCGACTCACAAGCCTTCCCTCTGTCTGCCCACTCAGACACCCCACCCAAGCTGGACAACGGAGGTTTATTCTCTGAGGAAACGGAAGCTCCGACACGGACACACAAGCAGAGCTGAGAGGGACATGCAGGTGAAAATCTATGCTCTGAACGATGAGTCCTACAGCCTCTTCCCCCTGCAGTTCCCCAAACACTGGCAGCCCTGCGGCTCGCTGGCCACTCCATCCTCTTCCACTGAAGCTCTGCGGCAGTAGGCTTGCCCTCACACAAAGGACTCAGCGTTCTGACCAGGTTCTTAGCGCTTCCCTCTTAATCACAAACAGATCCTAGAATCACAGACATTTCAAGAACATCTTCAGCATGAACAACAGGAACCAAATGAACAAACAGAAAAACAGAAACTCAGAGACAACAGAAGCAGCAGAAGGAAATTAAAACAATATCAACAACAAATTACATCCTCAGAGTGAGAAGATTCTTTCTTCATCCTTGAAATAAGAATAAATTGCTATTTTCATTTTAAAAGATCAAAGAACAGAAAAAAATTTTCGGGCATTAAAAACACGATAGCTTAAAATTTTGTAAAAGGCAGGAACGAAAGATAAAGATGATAACATATTCCAATCTGGTGAACAAAAAGGCAGATGAAAAACAGGGCAGAAAAGATGAGAAAATCCAGGCGGTCCAACATCCATCTAATAGGAGATTCCCGAAAAAGAAAACAGAGGCTATGGAAGAAATGAAACTTCCAAAGAAATTAAATAAGTTCTCAGAAAAGAAGATATGAGAGACACAAACTTTCAGATTCAAAGGGCCCAATAAGTAATCAGCACATTGAATTAAAAAAAAACCCAAACAAAAACAAATCAATGAAACAAAAACCACAGTCCAATCAGAGCATGTCACTTCTGAATACTGGAAATGAAGAGCTCAATAAATATAAATACATAAAATGTGTGAATCTAGGTGATGAGCACATGAGTTCACTGTACAATCCTTGCAACTTACAGCTCTGCAAGTTTAAATTTTTCCAAAATAAAGTTTCAAAAGTAATGAAGGAAATTCAATTTCTTTGTTAACATTAAAATAGTAATTTTTAATGCAGCAATGTAAGCCAAAATATTTGTCTTGATAATACAAAATGATTGTGAAAACATTCTTATATTTTAAAACAGCTGTATTGAGATATAATTCATCATATACTATACAATCCACTCATTTTAAAGTATACAATGGTTTTTGGTATATTATGAATAATTGTTAAAAACCGTGGTAAAACATAACATGAAATTTGCTATCGTAACCATTTTGCGATGTGCAATTCAGTGGCATGAATTACCTTCACATTCATGTGTTAGCATGTGAAAAGGACCTAACTTCATCTCTGTCAGAAGGCTGATGAACATGAATCGTCCTCTATCTGTTGTTCTGGCTGCTTACACTTCCCTAGCGTCTTTCAGACTCTGGGGTTCCCGAGGTCCCCCGTCAACCTCATCCATATCACTGATGGACACCCATCAGCACGTATATGACAACAGCTGTTCGCCAGATGTAACTGTGCGGGACAGGAAACGTACATAAACACATGGAATACACATGGGATGGGAACTCAAGGAGACGGAGTGGTTTTCCTGGAGTCCTAGTAATCAGGATATTAAAGCCCGAATGTTCATAACATGCCATAATGAGATTTCACAACCGAGAGACACACTAGGGAAGGCTATCTTCTCAATGCTGGCCTTCTGTTTCCGTGACCTCACGCTTTGACATGAAACGGTAGCCTTCGGGAGGTGCCTGGATTCTCGTATTTGTACCTTAGCCTCTGATTACATTTGTAGGAACTCCTTTCAGTTTCCTACCCCAAATTTTATTCTTCCTATCTTCCTGACTTTTATGGAAACTGAAGTCAGTAAGCAATCCTGTGCTTAAGTCACAGTTAATCCCCAACAGTCTCTGTGCCATCACCACCCCAACCCACTCATCTACTCCTCCCATACAATTCTCTCTTATGCTTCAAAAACACCATTTAAATGGAAAAGAAACAAAAAAGATTTTTTAAAAGAAGTGTGTAAAATAGTTTAAAATATGATGCTGAAACAGTCAAGATTTACTGAGCACATACTATTAGGCTCTATGCTTTCCATGTATTATCACATTTGAGCCTTACAGCATTGTACAGATGATGAAACTATAGAATTAAAAACAGTGAATGATGTCTAATCACTTGCTTTACCAGTCAGAAGGAAGAAGGGAGGGAGGGAGAGAAGGAAGGAAGGGAGGGAGGGAGGAAGGGAGGGAGGGAAGGAGGGAGAGAGAAAAGAAGGGTGCATATTGTTACAGGTTACACACCTGTAAGTGACAGCACTGCGAGAAAGAGCCCAAGCCATCTGCCTACGGAACACCAGGTAGTGGTTCACGGCCCTTCCTAAGCATCCTATTCCGAGTATGGGGTGAGCATCACATTTACAGACTTTGGAAACTGGAACTGTGGGGAATGCTAGAGTTCATTATTTCTAGCTCTTCTCTGAGACAAAAACGCTGAAAGTTCTTTATCCTTGATGTCATACCTGCACCAATAACCAAGGGCCCATTCCACAACTATGATTTCAGAGGGTACATGGAATAAAAACACACCAAATATGTAAAACTGACACAAAAGGAGCACATAAACTTAAAAAGGTAAACACACCTCTAACACAGAAGGAAAAACTATTAAAAATTCCAACAAAATAAGGTCTGTTCTTCGGGACCAGCAGGGAATGCCAACACACTTGAATGCCTCTGTGACATTAAAAGGAGAGGAAAATTCCCTGCGAGGTGCAGAGGATGGTTTCAGAAAACGAATCCCTTGGGCTTTAAACTGAGGCATCCCCTGAAAGGCACCAGGGCTCTGATTTCAAGGCCCTGCCAGGCAGAACTAACCGCAGATCTGGTCTCATCCCGTATGTCAGCTCCCTTCGGGAAGAAATGGGTGGGTAAGAAGCAGACAGTAATTCATCTTGGTGCTCAATTTTTCCACATCACTCACTTGCATACCAAATAGGGCTTGAAAACTGGAGAAGCGGAGGAGGGCGCTTATTGGGGAGACACAGCACGTCACGGAGCATAACAAAGAGTGAAATCTTGCCAGCACTTCTCCAGGAAATACAGACGTTGAGATGAACAAGGAGGCAACACAGAAGCTACTGAGCATATTAGTCACTATGAGACGGGCCGATGCTTCATTGTAGGATGCCACCAGGCAGATGAAATGACTTCAAGCAGCGAGTCGGCATGTTGGGAGTCAGTTTTGGAATCACGAGTCCTTAGTCTGAGTCCAGGCTCTTTCACTTACCAGCGCTCTGACCCGGGCAAAGGACTAACCTCGCTTGCACCTCAGTTTCCATATCTATAAAATCACAATACTACTACTGCTTTTCTAGGTGGTATGACTTGACATAGTAATTATTATCACTTCTTTATTATTTAACCCAGAGATTATTAATAAAAGTAAATAGGTAATATATGTAAAGTACCTGATATGTACAAGCATTCAATAAATGATAGCCAACAGCTGACCTTGTAGGAGTGATCATTTCTCTGGGCTTTACTTTCTGCATGTCTCAAAAGTTGGGTGGGAGCAGCCTAAGCAATCGTGAGGTCGCTTCCAGCACCAAGAATTCTACATGAAATCCTTCTTCTGCTCTGCCTTTACCTTATCATGCTTGAGGGTCCTGGGTTATCTGGTTTCTCTACCTCTACTTCTTCTTCTCCAAATATACTGTTTTTATTTATGATTTTCTCTTTTCCTTCCTATTCTTTAGATTTTAACTATCTTGAAAGCTCCATGAAAGCAGGCGCCGTGAATGTTGTAACACCCAGTGCTCAGTACAGTGCCTGGTGCTACTCAATCCAAACTTGCTTAAAGAGGAGTAAGTTAAACCCAAATGGTCCAGGTCATGCCTTTCTGCCCCTTTTATGTATGGATGCGAATAGCTGATGCCCATTCAAATAAGCGACACCATGAATTCTGAAATCATTTCCAACTTAGGTCATTCATTTTAAAGTACGTACCAAGAATCTTATTTTGCTAAGTTTCCTGAAGTGTAGGATATAGGGTATTTGACAGAGTCTGAACCTGGGCCCTGCCATTTACTAGTTTCGTGACAGGTAAAGCAACTTCTGTGAGTGTTCTTTTCCTCATCTGTAAAACAGGGAGCATGATGGTGTCTATCTCCTAGGTGATGATCAAGTGAGATTGCGCACAATCGGACTCAGCAAAGAGCTCAACATAGAATTCCACGCATGGTCGTTTAAAACAAACAAAAAACTTCCAGCGCTCCCCAATTTGTATTCTTCTTGCCTGCTAAGGCAATGGTATTAGCCACTCAGCAATCATTCCTGACGATATTATTTCTGGTACTCACTCATGTAGTTCACGTTTCCTGAAC